GACTACTTGGTTGCTTTCCATTTCTAAATCTGGAGTTTACAACCTCTTCAGAAAAGTGGCCAGAAATAATACAACATGGTCTGAGACAGATCGGTGCTTCTCAACTGGCCAACAAAATCCTCTCTCTGTTTTCATTAAGTCAAATAATACTGTGCCAAGAAAGGGCAAAGAAGGACCAAAATAAATCATTTTTGCCTGCTCTAACCTCAAGCAACTCTTGTTTTGTTATAGTTTAACTGATTAAACTATCATATATGAAGAAAATAATGCCACAAAAAAAGCCCAGAAAAAAAAATACCTCTGAATACCTGAGACTACAAGTTGCATGGTAGTAGAAAGCCCCAAGACCCCCTGTAGAAACAGCCTGCTGTAGCAGCCTTCCAGATAAAAAATGAGTGCTAGAGGAAGAAAGAACCCTATAGAAGACAATCTTCATTCATTCATTGAACATTTAACTGTATTTAACCATTAAACAAGAACTCCTAATTCTTAATTTGGCAAGGGAGCCAAAATTCTCAAAGCAGTGATAAGTACTAGTTGCAGACGCAACTAGATACAGAGAGGTCTCCAATGGTCCCTATAGCAAACATGACTGTATTAGAAGAACTTTACTTGATGCCTCAATTTGCAGGAAACAAGAGGAAAAACATGCTAAGTATTTACATAAGTGTCACAGGAATGGCATTATTCATGCATCAGCATTCAGTAAGCTTAATAATTAGGGACCTACTTAAGTCGCAGTTTTGCAATTTTTGTGGAAACTGTAAAAAATAACGTTTCTATGATCGCTGAGAAAAATGGCGTTTCCAACCATTTTTCATGAAAGTGCCAGAAAAAAGTAAAAGTAAAAGCCTACCAAAATACAAAGAAACTGTGGCAATCCCTGTAGCCACAGAGCACGTGGTTTGAGAAAGAGCTACTGAGTGGCTGAGCTAGTGACATACACTCAATTAAGGAACCAGTCAGAAAAGCTAAAGGTTTTGGCACCATCTTTTAGGAGTCCAGATGCAATGCTGTAGCAATGCTGAAGTCTGAAGATGAGTGACTGGCCTTTTGGCTCTTCAAAATCACTCAAAACAAACAGAGGATAGTATGGTGTGAGGCTGAAGTAAAAGATGAGTTTTCCATACAAAAAAGGTCAGAAAAGGTCAAATCTTTCAAAGAATCCATGCTGTTTTAAAATCAAGAGCATTTTCCTGAGCCTCATAGAGACTGGCATCAACTTTCCAGTAAAATTACTTAACCAAAGCAGAAATGCATGGATGAACCTTGGCAGAAGCAGCAGCTAGAAACTTTACTCAAGAAAACCATGTACATTGCTGCAAAGAACGGTCTCAAAATGTGATGAACACCTGGAATTAGAAACCAGGAGAAGGCCAACAAATCTGTAAAAACACTTAAAATTGTGAGGTAGGAAATAGCATGCTGCTATGTCTTGCTCACAAAAAGTTTTAGCATAGGGACAATATTGATAGCCAATTCTCAAAAGAGAACTAATGACTGCAAAAATGACACCAGAAAATGCCCCAAGATGCTTCTTCTTTTCCTTCTTCAACTCCTTAATAACTGGAGAGTTCATTGCAAGAGATAAGCCAATAAACGGTTTCTCTGCCTCTATGAAGCAAAATGTGTAACAACAAGGATTGCTGTACTTAACTTGACTGATCTGTAAAGAGATACTGTCATGTGGGATAAAGGAGGAGAAGTCTGTGGCAAACTCTAGACATGATTTTTTAGTCAATGTTGTTTTTCAATGAAGTGAAAATGGCCATGAGAAAAAAATCTCCTATAAACCCAGCCTTAATATATGATTCTAGGGGCACCCAAATGAGGTTACAATGTGCAGAAATAAAGCAAGCAAGCATGTTGGTTTCCTTTACATTATAAGGAAGGCAAATATAAACATAAGATGAAAGCTCTACTTGTAGAGATTCAGGAGAAAACCCTATAAAATAATAATTGAGGAGAAAGGATAAAAAAGGGGAAAGGAAATAGTTTTGATAGTCAAGTCAGCAGACGCACACTAAGAATAAAAAAGCAGTATTGTAGATTTAAAAAAAAAAAGTCCTACAACTTAAAGAACAAAATTAACACTTTAAATTTAGATTACATCTTAACTTTATTTCTTTTTCCCCACACAACAAGCTATTAATTTAGTCAGGAAGTCCCTTAACATTCCATGCTTTTCAATTTATTAGTTTAACTTTACATCTTTAAAGAAAACAACAAGCAACTCTTATGTCAAAAAAATTTTTATGTATTTTTGTTGTTGGCAATATAACATTATTTTCATTAAGTGAACTCTACTACATTTAGAGAAATGGGTACATTTGTATAAACTTCTGTAGGAGAAGAGCACACTAAATGAACTCTGAAACACTGGAAAGTAATATGCAGTTTTATCATTAAATATAAAGATTTCAAGGTATATAGACATCTATTGCAAGAGCTAAGCAAAAAAAAGTTAAGATCAACAATTCTTTAACAGTTACATGTGTAGATTATAGATTGGGCTCTTTTACAAATCCTTCAACAGTCCCTTCATATAACTCATCAAATATCACAGTTAGCTTGGTTTTCTGTATTTTTAGCATCCAGCAATGCCAGAAATAAGAGCAAGGTAGCTATTGTGGAGATTTAAAATAACCCCACAGAGGAGGCAATGAATGTACCCTACAGGTAGAACACTACTATATGTCATTAGATTCCACATGTAATCTGAATTACAGGAGTCTCAAGGTTATTTTGCAAGTTTCTTCAAATGAAGTGGAAATCAGAGTGTATTTTAGGTGCACAGGATCTACATCGCAAGACAGCAAAAAGTTTTCTACTAAAGCAATCCAACCCATTATACATACTGAAAATGCAAATAAAATCTGTTGTCCCTAATAACACTCACTAATAAGCATTGCATTCTTCAGTTAGCGGTTTGGTTGTTAATGAAGATGGTCAGAAGTATCTCAGAGTCATTTGGGTGCTCAGGCCCTCAAAAAGCAGGACTTAAGCTCTCTTTTCATATGTCCTCATCCTAAGAGAAGTACTTTTACCACACAGATGTACACTGAGAAATTTTGGATAAAATGCACCAAAAAGTGTAATGGAGGAAAGGAATCTGAGAAACAGACTGAATAGACATATCTTGAGAATTACTATATTCTAAACTATGGAGACAAACAGCTAAAGCTCTTCCTGGCACCCTGATTCTTGCTTCCAAAAATGTTTTTAAGTATGACAGAAGAAGCCAGGCAGTATTATGAGACTAGAACAGACGTACATGTCCACTTCCACTGAAAACAGAGGGAAGAAAGGGAATTTTATTTGTAAGTGGATATATACCTAATTATAAAAAGAAATTATCACCAAATCTTAAACTAAACTAAGCATGGAAATTTGACCGTGTTGTATAGGTTGACTGGATCATTCTTCTGTCATTGGTTAATATATGGAGAGCAAGCGAATGCAAGCAAGCGAGAGGGCAAGAGAGCAAGCACAAGCAAGAGCGTGAGAGTGAGCAAGCGCGCACGAACGAGAGCGGGAGCGAGCACGAGAGGAGGCGAACGAGGGCAAGCGAGAGAGCGAGCGAGAGAAAGCAAGACAGAGCAAGTGCTCCAGAAGTCATCTTTAAAAAGATCTACTAGAGCAGAATCCTATAATGAGAGTTAAGGAATACCACAGGCAGTATATGGAAAAGTGAAGAACAAGACACAAACAGCTATCACATCACAGAAACTGAAAACTACATGGATATATTTTCAGGAAAACAGTAAAATCTCAGGGCTTATACCATAAATATCCTGAGACCATGGTGTGAAACCTCTCCCAAAAAGGGGGTTGTAACAGGGAGAAGGATTAGATGTAATGTAAGTGGAATGTTTTGTATGTCAAGATTTGAAATAAAACTACAGCAAGGGGCTGATCAAATGACAGTTCAACAACTGGAAACAAACTGAAAATCCATAGGGAAAGTAATATATCAACGGGAAGGAACTTCAGATTTCTGTTGAGATGCAAAAAGTCCACAAGGGGGCTACAAGAAAGTGAGAGACAGTAACAGAAAACAAAATACAACTGGCAGTCAATAGTAGATGACTGTTTAGTCTTGAAAGGACTACTACAACCATGCTAATTATGAAGTACCCAGAAGATAAAGGCCATAAAACCACTGACAGCCAAGATCCTTAAGAATGACAGAGACATTGATACTCTATTAATAAAGAAGAGAATTAATTATGCCAGTCAGCATAACCTTTTGTGCATCTTTTTCATAACAATTATTAAAAAAGAAGGGATTCTGTACATCTGTTTTTTAGCTAAATTTGGCTTTGTTCATTTTCCATGAAGCTTACATATCAAGGTTTTAAAATTAGATTTCATGAACTACAGCACATGCTAAAAATTTATGAAAGAATCTCAAATAATACAGTACTGGAGTAATATTTGGCAAAGAATACTCAAAACACAAAACTCATGACAAATGCATTTCTTTTTTAGCATATGCATATACATGTAATAAAAACCAGTAGGATATATTTGAAAAAAGCTGCTTCTCAGTTTTTACTTGAAAGAAAACAGCGTAACTGTTTTGAAGCAAAAATCTTTTTTTGACAACTGTATACAATAGTATTCTATATATAAACACAAGTTTGAGAGACTAATATATGCATAAAATGTCCATATTACATATACAAATTATTTTCGGGAAACATATATGGAAAGATATTCATATTGAAAACAATATATTATACATAAAAGTGCCATTGGATTCTTTTGATTTAACATTATTGAGATGCTTACATAGGTAAATGGAAGGTCTAATCAGTTTTAAATAATTTTTCTACATTAGTGTGGGGCAGGGGTTGGGGTTTGTGTGGGTTTTTTTTTTTTTTTTTTTTTTTTTTTTTAACATTTTATGCCCTTTCCAGGAAATGGATTAATTAGAACTAAATATCTTATACAGCTTATGTAATTTATATCTTTTCCTACAGTTTATTATCACATACCCATGCATCTGCGTGAATGGGCCTGATGTTGCTTAGTAGCACCTCTTCATAGTTTCCATAATCACAAAATTTAACAACTGCAGTTGTTCCAGATGAATGAAGAGCTTCAATTTCTGCCCGGTAAAACTTAAAAGAGAAATTTCCAAAGGTCATAAAACAATAGATAAAAATATTGCAAACAGATCAGTACATTTTAAAAATAATGTCTTTTTATTCACTATAAGTGCAACAATTTCAAAAGTGCTTGTACCAGATAGACACACAAGGTTTTTTGGATAAATGTGATATATTTTATTAGACCAACTAAATAGTTGGAAAAATTGTTCCTTGCAAGCTTTCGGGCACAAATACCCTTCTTCAGGTAGGCAGATTCTCCAAATGCCTGAAGAAGGGTGTTTTTGCCCAAAAGCTTGCAAAGAACAATTTTTCCAACTATTTAGTTGGTCTAATAAGATATATCACATTTACCCCCCAAAAAAACAACTTGTCTGCATATGTCCTTAGACTGACACAGCTACAACCAACAATATTTGTACCAGATATGTGAATACAAGCCATTTATGTTCATTTTAATAATGAAATTTGCATGCCCATTAGTGTATGGACATCTTTAATAAAATGAACAAAAAAAAGGGATAGTGAATGGATAGAGGTAATATTTAGCAAAGCATTTGGAATTTTCAATAAGAACACATATAAATTATTGCAAAACTGTGTAAACATTTCTCTATGAACCAAGCACTTAAATGTTTTTAGTATACTGCATTTGCTTGAAAAGAAGGGCAAACCTGATGACACTAAGACAAAAACTGTTTGAGATGGAAAAAAAGACAGTATATATTACCTTTCTAGTAGCTATTCACTTTCCTAAATCTAAGAAGTTTGAGCAAAGTCCTTATCTCATTTCTGCGAGGATTTTACAGGGCAAGGGTGATCTCCAAATCAACTTCACCCATATCCACAAATAGACATGAACTTAAACATTGTCAAACTGGTTAAATTAATTCTCCCTACATGGCTTCTATATTAAACAAGTTAAAACAGAGCCTTACATCAAGACCTCTTACAAATGTTAATATAATAGCACAACGTGGTCAGAGACATTTTATGCCTGATCCCCAAAACTGTGCATCCCACCAGGCATGTCTGGCATGACTGGACATCACATTTTCCAGATTGACCATAAAATTCCTCTGATTCCAATCACGGAACTGTTGTGGGGGGAAGGGTGCCTGCCATTGTGACCCATTTACAGCTGTGGGCTCTCCCCCTGCCAGAATCTTGAAAGGCAAGCCATGTAGCTCATGCATGCCTTGCACGGTTCCAGAGCACTATGACTGATGTAGAGAGAAGCCTACTTTCTCCAATCTCAGGCTCATGCCACTCCAGGACCTTTAAAAAAGCAGATGTGCACTTGGTCCCAGGGCACCATGAGCTCAACATCAGGAAGACACACTGATCTCAGATTTTCCACGGTCAAGACTTAAAAGGTTTGGTGCTGCCCAGTGGCTCTGCTGCCCTCTGGACACACCAGCTCCCTGCATCCTAATACATTAAAAAGATAAATATAACATCTGCCAGGGTCCAAGATAATCATCCAAACTGAAACAAATCTTTTAGAAATATCCTTCCACTTTTTAAAGGCCTGCACATAAAAAAAAAAGAGGGCTACCCTGCATAGGAGGGGCTGTCTTGGGAAGAAGGGTGGAGGAGTTGCTCTCTACGTGAAGGAACATTACACCTCCCTAGAAGCAGAGATTGGCAACAAAGAAGGGCAACTTGAGACCCACTGGGTCAAAATATAGGGAGAGCATGGGGAAGGGGATTCACTGTAGGACTCTACTACAGACCTCCAAACCAAGAGGAAGCACTCTACCAAGAATTCTCTAGAGAACTGGCAGAAGCTGCATGGTCTCAGAACATGCTCATCATGTGTTTTTTCAACTACCCAGACATCTCATGGGATGAGCACACAGCAAGATCTGACTGCTCACAAAGCTTCCTCATTTGCATAGAAGAGCTCTACCTGACTCGGAAAGTCTATGAGCCAACCAGGAGCAAGGCACTCCTAGACTTAGTTCTGGTCAAAGAGGACAATCTAGTGAGCAACCTGGGGATCAAAAGGAAACTGGGAGACAGTAACCATGAGATGATCACCTTCTCCATCCAAGATAAGCTAGGGAAATCAATCAGTAGAGTAGAAATCCTTGGTTTTAAGAAAACTGACTTCCACAAGCTTAGAGTGGTTGATGAGGCCCTGTGGGGCCATGGGCCGATGAGGAAAGGAGTACAAGAAGAGTGGTCATTCCTCAAGGGGGCAATCTTAGGAGCACAAAGGAAGTCCATTCCCTTTAGTAAGAAAGGCAACAAAAGGGCTGGGAGATTCTCCCACCCGCCCTTGGCTCAATAGGGAAGTCACGGACCTCCTGAAATTAAAAAGAGAAGCTTACAAGGGATGAAAATCAGAAATTACCACCGAAGAGGAGTTCTCAGCAATAGCCCACACCTGCAGGGAGTGGATTAGAAAAGTGAAGGCACAAACTGAATATAAATTGGCAACCGGAATCAAGGACAACAAACAGTCCTTTAGATATATAGGAAGTCAGAGAAAAAATAAGGGAAGTATATGGCCCCTGATGAACAAAATGGGATAGCTGATAACCGACACTCGGGACAAAACCAAACTCCTAAATGAATACTTCACATCAGTATTCCATCAGTCCAAGGGTGTTAACCTGTTTGACAGAATACAAGATGATTAAGGTGGGGGTGATCACCCTCCCATAGTTGGTGAAGATTCTGTGGGGGTACACCTAGAGAGGCTGAATATCTACAGTCAGCAGGACCAGATGAACTATATATACCCGAGAGTGCTAAAAGAACTGGCCAACATCATTGTGCAATGTATGGCAAAGTATTTGAAGACTCGTGGTAATCAGGAGAGGTCCCAGAAGATTGGAAGAGGGTCAATGTAGTGCCTATCTCCAAGAAAGGGAGAAAGGAGGACCCAGGGAATTACAGGCCAATCAGTTTGACCTCAGTCCCTGGTATAATCCTGGAAAAAAATTATCAAAGAATCCATTATTGATAGGCTAACAGAAGGCAGTATCCTAAAGGATAGCCAACATGACTTTGCTGTGGGCAGGTCATGCCTGACCAACCTCATTTCCTTCTATGATCAGGTAACTTGCCACCTGAATAGGGGAAATGAGGCTGTCATATACTTGAACTTCAAAAAGGCCTTTGACCTAGTCTCCCATGATGTCCTCATGGTAGAATTGGGAAAATGCAACTTTAACTACTTTACGGTCTGGTGGCTAGGTAACTGGCTCCGAGGTAGGACCCAGGGAGTACTGATAGACGAAACTGAATCAACATGGTGGAAAGTGGCCAGTGGAGTCCCTCAGGGTTCAGTACTCAGACCAGTGCTTTTCAACATGTTCATCAATGATTTGGATTCGGGTATTAAAAGTGAACTGGCAAAGTTTACAGATGACACCAAATTATGCGGGAGTGTGGTCACACTCAAGGACAAGCTGGCAATACAGGCTGACCTGGCCCAGCTTGTGAGGTGGGCAGATCTTAACATTTAATATGGAGAAATGGAAAGTGCTCTACCTGGGGAGAATTAATCTGCAACACACTTACAGGCTCAGTAGTGCTGTTTGCCAGCACCACAACTGAAAGAGACCTGGGTGTTGTGATAGACCACAGAATGAACATGAACCATCGATGTGATGCGGTAGTTGCCAGAGCAAATCAAACACTGGCATGCATCTACTGATGCATCTCAAGCAAGACTAAGAATGTCATCCTCCCACTCTACTCAGCCTTCATGAGACCGTAGCTGAAGTACTGCATCCAGTTCTGGGTGCTGCACTTCAGGAAGGATGTGTAGAAGCTTGCGAGAGTCCAAAGGAAGGCCAAGTGCATGATCAGAGGTCTAGAGAGCAGGTCATATGCGGAGAGGCTGAAAGACTTGGGACTGTTCAGCCTGGAGAAGAGAAAACTCAGAAGGGACTTGGTAGCAGCCTATAAGCATATTAGGGGGTGTACATCAGGCATATGGGGAGCATCTGTTCACCAAGGCCCCCCCAGGGAAATACAAGAAACAATGAGTACAAACTGACTGAAGATCACTTCAGACTGGACATAAGGCATAACTTATTTATAAGTTGAGTGCCAAGGGTCTGGAACAGGCTCTCCTCAGAGGTGGTATAGCCATCTACCCTGACGATCTTCAAAAAGTCTAGATGCTCACCTCACTGGGGTCATCTGATCCCAGAAGTCTTTCCTGCTCAAGTGCAGGGAGGTTGGGCCTGATGACCTTTTAAAGTCCCTTCCAGCCCCTAACATCTATGAACCTATGAGTCTAACATTTCGAGAATGGTTAAAATTACAAGTCCACTTCACCACCTAACCCTACCACCACTCCAAACAGCTATTGGAGACTGCACAGTAAATAAGCTAGTACATATATTCAAAAACGAATACATCTACTATAGTTAATTTTCACAAAAACATTTAAAACTTATTTTCTATTTTTGATGTAATTGTCTTGATTAGCTCATTTTCCAAAGGTTTTTTCTGTAAATTCATGACTGCCCACAATTTATGCATCTCATCAAGACAAAATTACTTTTTTTTTTTTTTAAAGGTATATAGGATATTATTCCTTCCCTGCACCATTTGTATATAATCCCAATAATACATGTGTATTTAGTTAAGCAGAGGCAAAAATCAAAAACACAATTTGTTTTGTGGATTCATGAATTGTCACATCCACTTCCTATTTACACAGCAGGCTTTTTAATACATTAAAATAATACAAGATATACATTAAAAACAGACACAAAAGTTTAAAGAAATTAGCTGTTAAATCAACAATAATAAAAAGCAAAGAAAAATAAGGTTTTTTTCTTTTATTGGAAAGTCTTAGAATTTGGGGGCAAAAAAATCTAGAGAAGATTGATAGAGATATGACTTAAGGAGATTATTTTTCTTCAGATTCATTGTTTATGTAGTTTTAATGTAGTGTAAAGAAAGGAAAAATTGTAATTAAAACTTTAAAAAAATTAAAAATATAAATAACAAAATACTAAAACTTTTGAAGTCAAGAAATGAAAAAGGTTGAGAGTGCAGTTTGAGCACAAATAGTTTGTTCATTCCAGATACAGTTCAGCTAAAAAAACATTTTCCTGAGAATATGAAAAAAGGGGAAATGGTTTAATACTTTCCCTTTGTAAGGGAAAGTATAATATCATATCTTAGTTCCTTCAATCAGTGTTGTCTTCCCCTGAAATCAGAAGAACTGTATGCTGCTGATTCTGAAAAGAAAAACGTCTACCACAGAGATCCTTTTGGACAACAAGTCATTCACTTTCCTTTCTCTGGGATTAGGTTGCTTCCCCTATCATATATCTAGTGAATGGAGTCTGCAGAATAGGATAGCTATTAGGCCTGTACAAAGCAGCTAGTATTCCCGTCAGATTCAGTTTTGAACGATTCGGGAGACACTGATTCGACTAGGTGATTCGAATCACTGTCTTGAATCAATTCGGCCAAATCCGATTCAGAGATTTGGCTGCTACCGAATGAGCCGAATTTCCAAATCACACAGGCCCCATTCCCCTCCCGCTCTCAATGGCTGTCCTGCTTGGCCCCAGCTCCCAGCTCTTTGAAAAAAAAAAAAAGCCCTCACTCTCTGGCTCCTGCCTGGAGCAGCGGGTGGGAGGGGCAATCCTCACTGCCCCCCACTGTTCCATGCCACTTGGGGGGGCTCTGCTATGAGCCCCTTAACCCCCCGCCCCCACCCATGGCTACCCCACCCTCCCCAGCTCCTGGCCTAGGAAAACAAAAAACCACCCTGGCTCACCAGCTCCTGCCCGGAGGGGGGGGGGGGGGAAACCCC